TACACTAAAGCAATTTAAATTGCTGTAATAAAACTTATTAAAAGATATTTCTGGAAGGAAATATCTGAAAGGAGTTCCCCACAAATGCTTGAAAGTGGGGTCTGCTCTCTGCAGAATCCACCCTCCAAACTGGAGGATCTCCAGAATATTAGAACTATGCCCATGTAAATTTGCTGCACCTTTCCCTCAACTAACCCTTCTCCCCAGCTTCCTAGTAACGCAAATCCAATGTATCAGTTTTTCCTGTCGATGGTAGCTCCCAGAAGCTTTAGATCTACACAGAAAGTATGCCACACAAGAGCACAACCTGTACCAAAAAGTTTAAATCTGGCATTGAATTATCTGTAATCAAGGACATACGGTTTGGAGTATAAACGTTTTTTAGATCCCATAGGTAATGAATATCCAACTCTGGGTGCATAGTGGGCTTATAAAATATGCACATAGCTAACTTAGCTGGATGTTGAAAGACTTAGTGAAATTGTGCAGTGCTTGGGAAAAGGCTGCTTTGGCAAATTTGTCGCATTCACTGCCTATCTGTAAAGCATGTAAAGAACACCTAAACACTTCCTAAGGTTCATGGAAGAATGGGCTCTCTCAGGCATACCGTATAAAGTTTCAGAGGACTGGGCACTGGTGGTATCTAAGTAAATCACAAAATAAATTCCCAAATATGGAATTCATTATTCCTTCACTAGCACAGAGAAAATTCTGACAAAAAACTTTAAGGCTGCCAGTAAAATATATCTTTTTTTTAAATCAAGGAACTCCAAAGTTGCACATGTGCAGTAATAGCGTATTACTCTGTCTATAGTAGGCAAAGTGCATTAACACAAGTGCCCAATAAGCAAACAAAAATAGAGCAACTATGAAAGCTCATGGTACACAGACTACCTACGTTTACAACTGAATTATCTTTGATGCTGCCTCACTTCCTAAAATACACATAAGGATTATTGAAAATAAATGGATTATTGAAAATAAAATGAATACTAGGGTATTGATTAAATGGAACATTTAAACATTTTAGAAAATTAAGAAAATTCTCTGGCAAGTCAGTTAAGATATATTAGACTGTTAGAACACGGTATGTAGCGACTAGCAAACTATCTGATAAACCTAAGCTTATCCAGTAGTTGATTCACTACTCAACTAGTCCCTTCCCTCACCTTGCTGCCTCTGTATCAGAGGCACTAACGGGATGAGAGCAGGAGTCAGTGCAGAAAGAAGCAGGCTTAAAAGCCATTCCCAGCACAGCACTATCTCCATAGAGAACAGAGGAGGCATAGGCGCAGTTTATGCAAAACCTTAACTGTGGTATTTCCTGAATTTTGCATGCTCAATTGGGCAATCTTAGTATTCTCTATGTACATTTTTTGATAGATCACTTAAGTCAAAACTGTTTTTTTTTAAATACAAAGAGCTATAAAAGTTGTGTTCAAATTGTGTAGACACCACTGGACCAAACAGGTCATCATAAACATTTCTATAGGGATGGCCTTGAAAGCTACTTAATACTATTATGGTGTTTCACTTGAATTCCATCTTTCGTAGCTGTGACATGTCTCAAAAGCAACAAAAGTCTATCAGGATTTTATTTACTTCAGGGAAATAGCACGTGGCAATCAAAACTACCTTTGAAAATTTACTTTAAATGATTTACATTTTTTAAAAATGAATACAGATTCTTGCATTTAATATAAATTAATACCACTATATTAGAAAAGCAGTACATCTCCCTCCCTCTCCTTGTTGCTTTTAAGTGTCTGTACAGCCACATTACGTAGGCTGGCCAGTTTATAACTCCAGTTATTATTCACAAGGTATAATATCAAAAGTTCCTTTTTAAGAGTTAAATCCTTACAGTAAGAACTAGAACAAATAAGTTTCGTTTTTAAAAACTATTTGAAACCATTTTCAAACTTAATGCTCACATTCAAGTTTTAACAAATTGAAATTTAACCAATAGAGTTAGTCACAGAGTGTAGGAACATAAAGACTGGTCCAGACTTCAGTGGGATTTGAACAAAGTCCTTAAAAACTCTGTAAGAATGCACATTTAAATGTTAATGAATGAAATTGTTATATTTAGGATTTTTCAGCCCTACTGAAAAAGATAAAATATTCTATACATACAACTTTTTATATAAGACACACTAGTATAGCCACAAAAACTATGATAGAGAAAAAGATGTGTGATAAGTAGTCTAATGAAGCCTTAAATCCACTAGATGAAATAAAGACATTTAGCTATTTTCTGAAAATATTACAGGATTTAAAAAAAATCATGTATACTTTTATATAGCTACATTAAAGTATTCAAAGCACTGTTTGCTTCAACCATGCAACCACTTATCCCACACACACTACAGTAAGTGTTACAAAATTACATAAATGCCCTACCCTTTTTTGCAGAACTATTGGAGTGATTGCTGGCAAGGTTACCCTTCTTGCATACAAGCTCATGTCTGCTCTTCACAGAATTAGAGTAACAGCCTCCGTTCAGGTCATACATGAAATAAAGTCAGTCTCTGGCAATATTCCTTGAAGCCTCAGTTCTCAGAACCCAATACCTTAAAGTCAGTGTAAAGAAAGAAAACAAACAAACAAAAAAGCAGGGTGACATTTATTACATTCTTATGGGAATCCAACCCTACTGAAAGCCAATTAAGGAGGACTCTGGGACAGGACTAACTAGCAACCAACCAATCACAGGACTTGCAAACTCCTCCTTTGTCCTTGAAAATACATTCTGGTATTTTTGTTTATGATATTTAAAGAACCAGATTAACAAGTATTTAGATCACCCAGGAACTTCTACCCCATACTTCCATCTCCCCCCCTCTTCCCAGAAAGAACAACTGAATGCCTTCTTTGCCGTTCAGAAAGAAAATTGTGCCTTGTTTTGTTTTCTTTTTTAAAATTTAACACATGCATATTTAGATTACAGTTAAAATATGCTGGTCTTAAAATGTTTTAAATTAAAGCCAATTATGCAATAGATACAGTTAGAACTATGAGATTAAAGTATGTTTTTAAACACAAGCTGCTTTTGATCAAGTATGAAGTATCTCAAATGTTGCTCACTCTAGATTAACAAGGTAAACAATCCACAACGGCTCAAGTCAAGAGTTCATAACATTTCAAGCTATTGCAGTCTTTTTTAAAAACCAGTGAGTAAATTATTTAGTGCATGTCCGAGTACTGTACATATCCTTGAAATGTTCAGAGCTGAATTGGCAAATACTACAATAATCCATGCCAAAACGATTTTATCTTTGAGATTTAGGGGCAGAGAGGAATAATTGGAAGATGAAGACAGCCATTTCTGCTCAGAGTGTGGTAGGGAAGGAAAAACGGATTATAAGCCGTAACAGTCAGTGATTTTAAAAAATTAAATGCTGCGGAGTTAAAGAGAAACAGTACTATAATCTACAATTAACACTCTCTGTACAAGTGTCTTTTAAATAGTAAAAAATATGATCATATCTAACAAGCCACTGGTACTGACAGGGCACCATCAGAGCTCATAATTTTAATGTGCCTATGCGTGGCTTTAAAATTTAGGCATGTGCTTGATGGCCTTGATGAGGCCCTGAAGTCAGTGGGGCTTAAGCACATTCTTAAGTACTTTGCAGAATTGGTCTCTAAATCAGAGTTTGCACAAAGCAACATGCAGATTAAAATAAAATCAAACAATGTAACCTGTAGTATGTTGATGCGTTGCACACAGCTGTCGAATGACAAAAGTTAGTCAAATAGAAAGAGGCAATCATTTTTCTGCAGTTTCAAAATCTACTGGCTTGATGATGACTGGTGGGACGGGACACTGGGGGAAGGGTCAAATAACTTCTGGAAACTGAAGCAAAGTCATAAAGGGATCTAGTATGGAGGCCAACATTTGTCTAGTTAATTTTAATCGCATGCTTTTAATAAATCATAAATCCAATTAAAATGTAGCAAAAATCTTTGTTAAAAGATATCAAGGGTTTTTTTTGGCTTGTTTCACAGTCAAGCTATAACTCATCTCCCAAAAATTAGACAGTACTCAAATCATACTCTCTGCCTATATTGAGGCTTAAGTAAAGAACTCATTATGCCTATGTGTTGGAAATTTCCAGAATGTAGTTACTCAAGAAGGTCAAATTTTAATCTCCTTCCTGTAAAATCCAGAATGGACATATCCTTCTGCAACCACCATTTTCAGAATGGCTAAGGTAAGCGTCAAGTGTCTTGTTACATATTTTTTCACCTTGTAGCCCATTATGCGACTCAAGTTTTACTGGACTTTGAGACACAAACCTTGGTATTAGGCCACAAACTTTATTCACAGGAGCACAGTTTTATTTATTTTAAAATAAATTATAGAAAAAGTGAGGTTTAATAATAGTAATCCCAGTATATTGCATTAACTACTTTATTGAGAAGGGAATACAAATAACCAAAATCAGTTTAATCTTACTTCAGTTACTGGCGTTCCTTGTCTGCTGCCAAGAATTTCAATGCTTTTTGCTATATGAATAATATTTTCCTCTGTCTACAAGGTGAAGTAAAGGATTATTTTCCCCACTGAGAATATCTGTGTTTGTTCTGCTCCAGCAGACATGGCCACACCAGATATTTTCTTAGGCCAGGTATACATAAGGGGGCAATAGCAAGCTAAGTTATCCAACTCCAGCTATATGAATAGCATAGTTGGATTTGATATACATTAGTCTGAGTTACTGCGACATCTCCACTGGGGGGGGAGGGGTGTCCATGGGAGAAACTCTGATTCCCCTTACTCTTCTTCACCTGGTGGCTTACTGGAGTCAATGGGAGCATGCTCAGCAGTTGATTTAGTAGGTCTTTACTAGTCACGCTAAAAATTGACCCCTGGGGGAGTGATTTCTACAGCAGCGATCTCCCAATAAGTACAAACAAGGCCCTACTTTCCCAGGTGTGACCAAATGTTTCAGTTTTAAAACAGGAATTCATAATTCAGATGATGTTGATTTTAAAAAAATTCACAGATAAAAATGCATGTCTGTTCTCCAGAGTGACTCTAAAGTCACATCTACACTGGCAGATGTAAAGCACTAGTAGATCACTGCTCACAGAGGGTGTGTCTAGTCTACATGGCTCCGTTGACGGAGCCACGTAGATGAGTTTACTAGATATAGCAAAATGAAGCGGCGATTTAAATAATCGTGAAACGAGGCTTACAGGATCTGACAACAAAGGGTTCTGGGGTCGGCTGATCCCCGTCTAGACTACCGTGCTATGCTAACAATCAGCTGATCAGCACAGCGCGGCAGCCATTTTGAAGTAAATGAAGCGGCGATTATTTAAATCGCCACTTCATTTTACTATGTCTAGTAAACTCATCAACATGGCTCTGTCGACAGAGCCATGTAGTCTAGACACACCCAGAGTGCTGCAGGGAAATGGCTGTTGTGTGTCCATACTGTGCTCCTTGTGATGGTGGAGCACATCCACATTAGCAGCTCTTGCAACATCAGAGAGCAGTGTATTGTGGTAGCTATCCCATTATGCAACTAACCACAGGGTGCTTTGGGAACAGTTTGCAATGTGGCATGGAACAGTCAGCATCAGATGATGCAGGTTTCCCAATCCCATTGATCCATGGTCAATATGATGTATTAACAGCTATTTTTCAACAGAAGTCAGGAAAAGGGAGAGTATGATGGGGGGGAGGGGGGGGGA